GCGGGTTATGGCGAATATTGATTAGTGAAAAGGCTCGGTTTAACCGAAATCCAGCGTAATCATATTTGTGCGTCCTGCTGGTTAGACATTCTGAAATTTAAGGAAAAGTCGGACGGCAAAGAATAAAAAAAGTCGTTGCGGGTTAGACCCTAAACAACCCAAAAAACCAAAATTTTAAAAAAATTATGAAAAATTACCCCGTTAAAGAATTTTTAAAAAAACATTCCAAACTACTTACGGCCAACACAGAGCGGGAAAGACGCATTTTAGAGTATAGAGATGTTATTTATTCCCGCATTATCGAGGAGATAAGAAAGTATTACCGAAGAGTGCAAAGTGGCGATTACCGCTACGACGGAATGCCCGAAATTAGTCGCGGTATTCACGGTTGAATAGAAGCGAAAATTTGACGCTTATTAGTGGAAATTGGCGAACCCAACCATCCCCGATACAGCAGCAACCCAGACGATTATTGAGATGAACCCAAGTAAAGAAATCATGCCCCCAGAAAAAAGACTAATTTGTTCGCACTGCGGACGAGAGATAAAACCTGACTCCGAGGATTTTTGCGAGAAGTGCGACGGAGATTTTCATTCTCATTGTCTCAAAAAAGCCTACGACCGAGGCGTGTGAGTAATGTCTTTTTGTCGTAAGTGTGTAACCTAGTAAAAGTCGTGCGGGCAGACTGAAAACAACCCGCAAAACAACATATGCCAAACCAAAAAATTTAACTGAATAAAAAATAATGCCAAAATAATCGCGACTGCGATTATTATTTTACTAATTTTGGCTTTCGTCCTGGCTTATTTTTGCCAAAGCAGGCCAGAGAAATTTCCGCCCCCAGGACCAAATCCGGACGAACCTAACCAACCCGAGGAAAATTTTTCTCCTCCCGTAGTTGCCGAACCAGCCAAAAGGCAAACCCCACCCCGTGACGCCCAAGGGCGTTTTATTAAAAAAGTCGTAGCGGGTTAGACGAAAAACAGCCCGCAAACAACAAAAAAAATATGTTAGGATTAGAAACATTAAAAAAAATAGGTCAACAAGGCCGAAAAATTTATACCTGAATGGGAGATTATTTACTAATCTCTGTAATCGCCATAGTCGGAATAATAATTTTATTTTTCCTTCTGCGTTTCCTCTGGCGACAAAGCACTAAAAAAAATTGTATTAAATGTGAAAAATGCCATACCTCCGATAAATTTTGGATTAAAATTAATCCTAATCTAGGTGTGTGTTATACCTGTATCATTCGTGGCCTTTTTGGAACGGGACCTGAACTGGTAAAAGAAATCGGTAAAAAGTAAGTTATGGTAGACGCTCAAAAATGGTTGGATGAAAAATATCCTAATAAGAAGGAAATTATAAAAATTGATGGAATTAGAAAAAAACTCACGGGTGAACTAACTATTGCCGATTTTCCCCAGTTGGACCAGTTAAAGGAGATAGAATTATGAGGAAATAAATTAACCCGACTCCACATTGCCAATTGTTTGTGAAGAAAATAAACTTACGGAATTAACTATTACCAATTGCCCTAATTTGCGAATAATAAATGCTAGAATAAATCAACTAACCAATCTAGATGTAAGCAATTGCCCCAATTTAACAAATCTTTGTATTAGTTGAAATAAAATCACGGCCAACCTTAATATTTTTTCCCACTTAACCAAACTCCGAACGTTAGAATTATGAGTGTATGACGGCCCTGGAAAAATTGAAGAAAATAATTTTTTCGGCTCCTTAAAAGCCCTGGAAAATTGTAAAGATTTAAAAAAATTAAATATTACTAACCAGCCAAACATAAAAGGAGGATTAGAATTTTTACCAACCGAAAAACTTACTCATTTTGGTTGTGATGGAACAGAATTTGAAGAGCAATTAAAACCTTTTAACGGTAATGTTAAAAAATGGCAACTAGCTCAAAAAACCAAAAAGCCCGAAGTAAGAAAAAGTGAAAGCGGCCCCAGTCAAACCCAAGAACAGCCGACCAAAACCGAGGAAACACCGAAAATTAACGAACAGCCGACCCCGACTGACCCGCCTATTATCTCGGAGCCAGAAAAAGCCCCTAGTTTTTGAAAAGA